TTTTCAAGACTTACTGAAAATAGCGCTTCGGCACCTCCTACCCAGTAGGCATGGAGCCCCCACGCGGTTGAGAGGTTCCGGGTAGTAAGCACCGGCCCTGTCGATTATTATACTTCACTAGAAGCATGGCCTGGCGTTGCCCGTGCTTGATTAAAAAATCGTACGACTCATACAGCACTGCACGCACTAACCTGTTTCTTCCCGCGCATAGCGTGACCTTAAATTAAACTGCATTTAGGAAATACCCAACCGGAAAAACATTCTTAAGGGTTGACCGATTGTCCATTTGCATTCTGTTTGGGGAGGGGGCGCTCAGAGTTGAAACTTCACATGGTGACTCCCAATGGCCTCCTCATAAATCCGATCGGTTTTCGCTAAAAACCGACATGCGGTTCAGGTGCAATCTGGGTGTATCGGCTTTTGGGTTTTATCGATTTTCCGCGCTGTTTAGGGGTCCGTGGTCATGAAACTTCTGGACAACACTTTTAATGGTAGACTCTAAGAGGGTGTCAAATTTGGTTGAAATGCAATAATTCCTTCTGTAAGCAGAATTTTTTCGATTATCGATTTTTCGGAACCTGAGTCCGAACTGAAAAATCGGGCTGCGTCATGTCCTTAAGGCAGCCATTTGCAAACTTGTGGTGAAAACCGCATCAAAATCGGGTGAGAAATGCGGCCTGGGCGAGGTAACAACGCCCACGACAGACACACAGACCGACAACATGAGAAAGATAGATAGATAGATAGATAGATAGATAGATAGATAGATAGATAGATAGATAGATGATTGGCAATATAACTTAGGGAGAAAAAAGTAAAAAGTATAAAAAGCCCCCCCCCCAAAAAAAAACATAAAAACGCTGCTGAAACTAGCCCTTTTGGGGGTTACAACCTCGTCGGGGGCTCCTACATAGTATGCGCCACACTGGCCATGCAGATGTATATTATTATAACCCCATTTTAAAAAATGTTTATATTTATTATATATATATATATATATATATATATATATATATATATATATATATATATATATATTTATATATATATATATATATATAGTGATTTTCCAAGCGTAGCTCAGATGTGGCACAAGGCCGAAAGTATGGGCGCACCCAGTGAGGATCGAACTCACTACTTAGTCATAATTGTGCTAGCAAGACAAGCTTGATAACCATTACACAACCTCGAGGTGTCCAAATATATATATATATATATATGTGTGTGTGTGTCTGTCTGTGTATTCGATATTATTTGTCTATATTCCTGAGATGAGGTATTATGTACACTATTTACATTATTCGGATTATTTTCTTCATCTTTGTCGCCATATTTATTACAACGTTTCGACCGTTGTACACTCCAGCCTTTTTTCAGGGGGTTGGAATGTCGCTCACTGGGATAGACTGTTCTAGTTCCATATGCCATGTTTAATGGATGTCAGTTATCAGTTATCTCCTGTTAATTTCCCTCTCCAAGTTCTCCACTGCCTCAACCGGGTATTGAACTCACACTTTTTTGGGTCCTGTCAATGGATATGTTGAGTCTGAGGCCCTCATCAGATCATTCGGAAGTTCTTTTCAGAACGAACCGAGTAAGTTTTTCGTGCTTCCTTATCTTCGTAATCACCATGAGACTCACCCAACTCTTTCCGAATCGTCTGCACTGTGCACACATTGACACCCAAACATTCTGAAATGTTCGTATTGGAGCTTCCGGTGCGAATGCCAAGCAGTACAGCATGTCGTTTCCAAATTTCTTTCATAGTGTTTTGACTCCAGTTTCGGGGTTAACTTTTTACCCATAGCTGGGACCCTAACAGGTGCTATCACCCCGGGTCACGAGCAATGAAGAGGTGGTTCCACGCTCCTCAAAACCTCCTGATCAGTGGCCTTGCTGTTGGACGTAGTTCATCGTTTTACCCAAGATAGGTATATATATATATAATTATGTGAGAAGTTGATACAATTAAAATGTGATGATATATATATATATATATATATATATATATATATATATATATATATATATAATCACATTTTTATATATATATATATATATATATATATATATATATATATAGATAGATAGATAGATAGATAGGAGGAGGCACGGTGGAGTAATGGATATCGGCTTGGATTGAGGAATCGGAGAGCCGAATTCGAATTTCAGTCGAATCCATTATATTCCCTTACGAGCTAATACCCTTGGGAAAGGTATTAATCCTCTACTTCTCCCTCCAACGATGTTCATATCGCTCCAACGATGGGTAAATAGCAGGACAGACTGGGTTCTATAGCCTTGGATGGCAACTGGTCTTGGAGAAGGACAACTCTGAATTCAAAACCTGTGGAGGGTCGTTTGGGGACCTTGTGGCACATAGTGCACCAGGTCTCTGGCCCTTCAAAAAGTGTGGATGGTCCTGCACGAAGCCTTCACCACTATAATCAAATCTCATGTGCTGTTGTCGGGCTGTCGGTTTCCTGGGAACTGATCTGCTTGATCGGATTCGACGGGAGAGGGAGACACACACAGACACACACACACATACATATATATATATATATATAGTAGTAGTAGTATATATATATATATATATATATATATATATATACAGTGTAACCCGGATATAAGAGAAACCCGGATATAAGAGAGATTTTCTCTGGTCCCAAATTAGAGCCCATACTTACCTAAACAAAATAGAACAAACCCGGATATAAGAGACTTCTCCGGTCCCGACAACTCACTTATATCCGGGTTACACTGTATGTATATATATATATATATATATATATATATATATATATATATATATATATATATATATATATATATATATATATATATATATATATATATATATATATATATATATATATATATATATATATATATATATATATATATATATATATATATATATATATATATATATATATATATATATATATATATATATATATATATATATATATATATATATATATTATAAGTATTATAACAATACATCCACAACTTTGACCCATTTGTTTCTTAAGTTATTCTTCTCCCCGTGCCACATAACTGTCCTCCCTAACTTCCCTGGACAACCATACCAATTAACATATTGCATGCTGTTTAAGGTTCTACATCTCCTGATGTTTGCCAAATCGTTAAGACCTCCTTTCACTACACACCGCATCTGACTTCGGCATCTGGAAAAGAAATTTCACTGTTTTGTTTTCTTCCAAGAAGTGTTGCTGTCCGTGCAAAATGGCCGGAGGGTGCTAAACATTCATTAGTTTGGCGAGAGACAGCGCCCAAACTTTTTGAAGTGGCTCGCCTCACGCCTTGATGTTGTTCCAACTTATTGACTTTGCCGTCTGCAAACGCCACGCACGTCTGACGAAACAGCACAGTGGGAGAACCAATAGTGTTTGTAAGTTGAGAAGCAGCTCGGAAAAAAAAAGAACTGAAGATAAACAATAGACAAACAGTAAGGTGGTGGAGAACAGAATCTAGTCTGGCGCAAGGCCAACAAGGATCGTGTTGTTTCTAAAAAAAAAAAAAAGCATCTGTTTTTACAGTGTTAATATACAAATTTAACAAAAATATCATGATGAAATAGATTATAAACAAAAATGAAATGTTCGTCATTAATTAATCACAGCTAAGGATCGGAAGCTTATTGATGTTTGAAATAAAGTTCAAATATATATATATAATTTCAGGTTTCACGTACGATTTCATTTTCAAGTCTTTTTTTCACTGCTCTTTTGACTGTAATAGCTGAAACTTCTCTCTTACGTACCAGACGTCTTATGGATTGCGTTGGATCTTTTCATTGTAAAAACATTTTTTATTTTTTTAAACTGATGGAAGTTTCTCAGCTCGACCCACTCACCAAAATACTGATTTTGGGAACTGAGTTATTTTCACTAATTTTGCAGCACCTCACAAACATACACACACGTCGGTACATTAACAAAAAAAAAAAAATCCAAGAAGCACTTATTCTATAAAAAAATTATTTTTTCCAACATAATCTTTTCCCTTTTCACTGCACTTAATCCAAAGTTATAATAAGCACACAAATAATGAATGTTACCCAGAGAAATTTTCCGTCAACTGCTCGTAACCGTTTTAGGAGAGAGATTTGTTGATGCGCCCTTGTGTGTGTGTGTGTGTGTGTGTGTGTGTGTGTGTGTGTGTGTGTGTGTGTGTGTGTGTTTATGTATTTGACTGTCTCATAACACACACACACACACACATAATTGTGTTTTTGGGAAGCAATCCTTCTTTTTTACATGTTTCGTTAAAAACAACTGATAACTTACCGCGCTTAAGTTTTTTTTAAAATTTTCTTGTGTTCTTATGAGTTTTTTCTTTTCTTTTCTTTTCTGGACATAAATTATCCAGAAATTGTCCGAATGTTCTATATGTCCAAACGTTTTCAGGTATTCTTTTAGCCATAATGAAGGATGATTTTATATTTAATTTCAATTGAATGTACAGATTTTTTTTTATATATGTATCTTGAGTTACATATATGTTTTATTTTTTTAAACACGGTCAGCACATTGTGGCCGTGTTCATAGTTGATGTTACGAAGTGTAGGATTTTCTTTTTTATTAACACTGCTTCCATTATTTTTAGCCTCTTTTACATGTGAATGAGGCTATTATATTTGCATTGTCAACGAATATATTGCGGATAGAGTTTGGTAGTTCACCGTGTTTATTTAAATGGGACCTAATTGAGCTGTGGCCAGAGAGATGAAATTCAATCCGCAACATATTTACTAACCCTTTTCAGGTTATTTAAAGCCAGAAAATATTTTTAGATTGTTAGAATTTTTTTTTAGATAATAATGGTTTAGTGGCACAAGTCTTACTAATTAGCCCATAGCTGGAGGCTGGAGAATAGATGGATTAATACCTTTCCCGAGGGTATTTACGCGTAATTGAACATAACGAACTCGAAGGGGATTGGAACTCCATTACACTACCGGCACATTCAAGCTTACAGCACCTGGTATTCTCAAACGGTCACCCATCTAGGTACTGACCAGGCTTGACGTTGCTTAACTTTGGTGATTATACGGGAACTGGTGCTGTAACCCCGCAAAATATATTTGCTGTCTCAAGCAACACAGAAGATTATTATTATTATTATTATTATTAGGGAGCAAACACGTCTACCATTGGAAGAAAAATAAAAATTTTAACAGGAATAACACAATAGATTTGAAATGAATCTCATGGAGAAACTAGAACGAAGGAAAAAGCAAAGGTATTTCTACCCTTAAATAAAATATTGACAGGTACGGTGGAGTAATGGATAGCGGCTTGGATTGAGGAATCAGAGAGCCGAAATCGAATTCCAGTCAAATCCACTACATTCACTTACGTAGTAATACCCTTGAGAAAGGTATGAATCCTCTTCCTCCCCCCCACAGCGATGGGTAAATAGCAAGACAGCCCGGGTTCTATAGCCTTGAAAGAAATGGCAACCTACTGAGGAAAAATTTGCCTCGTCAGTCATGTATCGAAAGATACATGATCGTCTAAGCGTGTATCATGCATGGCACATAACTGACTGACTGTTATATCATTTTTTTTATTTTGCACACGGCTTAGGGTGGATGTTGGATAAAGAATTTTTTCGGATATAAACTCCTATATTTTACTGTCAATAAATGTAAAACAAAGAAGTAAGCGACCCCTGCAAATAAATCTTACTAAATTCAGTACGTACGAAAACGTTTTTACAATTCTGTACAAGCAGAGCTCCAAATTAAATAAGTGGTTTCTGGAACCTGATTGGATAGGTCAAGTCACGTGATGTGTTTTCTCCGACGTCCGCGCGGTTGAACTCCACAGATTCCATGAATAGTCGACAGTCTAAACCAGAGAGACCTCAGGACCAAGACCTACCTTCATCAACATTACCCCAGGACCAAGAGCTACGTTCATTGACATTTCCGCAGGTCCAAGAGCTACGTTCATTGACATTTCCCTAGGTCCAAGACCTGTATTCATTGACATTCCCCAGGTCCAAGAGCTACGTTCATTGACATTCCCCTAGGGTCCAAGACCTGCATTCATTGACATTCCCCAGGTCCAAGAGCTACGTTCATTGACATTCCCCAGGTCCAAGACCTGTTCATTCATTCCCCAGGTCCAAGAGCTACGTTCATTCCCCCAGGTCCAAGACCTGCATTCAGAGCTACGTTCATTGACATTCCCCTCTAGGTCCAAGACCTGCATTCATTGACATTCCCCAGGTCCAAGAGCTACGTTCATTGACATTCCCCTAGGTCCAAAACCTGATTCATTGACTTCCCCCAGGTCCATACGTTCATTGACATTCCCCTAGGTCCAAGACCTGACATTGACCCCCAGGTCCAAGAACGTTCATTGACATTCCTCTACGTCCAAGACCTCATTGACATTCCCCCCAAGGTCCAATTCCTCTGAAGACCTGCATTCATTGACATTCCCTAGGTCCACATTCCCCCAGGTCCAAGAGCTACGTTCATTGACATTCCCCTAGGTCCAAGACCTGCATTCATTGACATTCCCCTTAGTCCAAGAGCTGCCATTCCCCCAGGTCCATTCCCCCAGGTCCAGCTACGTTCATTGACATTCCCCTAGGTCCAAGACCTGCATTCATTGACCCCCAGGTCCAAGCATTCATTGACATTCCCCCAGGTCCAAGAGCTATTCATTGACATTCCCGCAGGTCCAAGAGCTGACATTCCCCTAGGTCCAAGACCTGCATTCATTGACATTCCCCCAGGTCCAAGAGCTACGTTCATTGACATTCCCCTAGGTCCAAGACCTGCATTCATTGACATTCCCCCAGGTCCAAGAGCTACGTTCATTCATTGGTCCAAGACCTGCATTCATTGACATTCCCCAGGTCCAAGTCCAAGACCCCCTGCATTCATTGACATTCCCCCAGGTCCAAGAGCTACGTTCATTGACATTCCCCTAGGTCCAAGACCTGCATTCATTGACATTCCCCCAGGTCCAAGAGCTACGTTCATTGACATTCCCCTAGGTCCAAGACCTGCATTCATTGACATTCCCCCAGGTCCAAGAGCTACGTTCATTGACATTACCCTATTCTTGAATAGTAAACGAAAAAGAAACATTATCTTTTGTGATGTCTTTTGAGCTCAATTTGTAAAAAAATTCTTCAAAAATATTCATTATAAAATTTAAATTTCTCTTCTGTTATTTTTTCTTCTTCCCTCCGTTATTAAGTGTATTCTTTTGTTTTTACTTCTTTAAAAAAGATATTGACGGCTCAGAATTCTTTCAGTTTTGAACAAAAGGCAAATAAATAAACAATTAAGAAACCAGTGTTTTAAGTTAAAAAAAAAAAAAATAAATTAAAGAAAAAGTCAGTGATTCACCGGCAAATATATTTTGAACAGCATTTGAGATTGCTTTCAGACCTCTTGTTACGTTTGCTTTTCTTAATTTACATTTTTTTTTCTTCCTTAAAAATCTACGCTTGTGGCCGACCATTAATTAAATTCAATGTCATTTTTCTTTATGATGTAATCAAGTATAGACATGGCCGGTGGGTACTATTCCTGAACACCCCGCCAAATG